AAACATCACAAGTTGACTCAAAACTCTGTCAGCTTCAGCTGTCAAAGTAAACAACTTTCAAGATGCTGCATAAATTTTACGCATGAACTCACCTGTCAAATTTTAACCAATCGGAGAATAAAAATTGGACGTGGAGCGTGACCAACACGTAACCATGGTAAGAAAAGGTCTTCCCCGCCTGTCTTTTAAAAACACTGGCTGAATTTTTGCGTCTGAGGTCAGTTTGAAATCAAAATCGTAATAGTGCGGTGCGATACTGACATAAACACAACATATTTGATATTGATATGATCATTTGAAAACGAGCAAATTTTCAGCGGTTAACTTCAAAAAATACTCGACCTCGATGGGTCGACACCTGAGCCCGCAATACGGCCAGATGATACTGGTCAGCGGATACCCTGTTTTGACAGCTGTCAATTGATGACAACATTGATGTGCAATCAGCTTTCTCCTGGGCTCCCAGAGTAACTAGAAAGTGTGAGAGTAAACATTGGTATGCCTGTGGTGCGGACGGACGGTCGGTCGGTCGCTCGGTCGGTCGGTCACGTGATTACCAAATTTTCTGGGATGGGTAGATTTATTTACCCATGGTGCTCCGCAGGCGCGCTTCGCGCGCGGAGCTCCGCTATTAAGCTCCCCATCAATCGTGTGGGGGTTAACAGAGGATTTACGGTATGTAAAGAAAACGGTAACCGGTTAGTTTGCAAGGAACAACAAGGATAACTCGACGAGATTTGTCGCTAAAGAGACTTATCATCATTTTTATTTGAACCGATTACAGGTTGAGCTCTTAGTATCTCCATTTTTTTTTCTAATACTAATGGGCATATTTATTATAGAGATATAATGGACTCGCCGGAACACTTTGCTATTACGCTTAGAGTTATAAGAACTTGTACATTCTTCATATACTCCATATAGGTTAAAAGATATCAAAACACTAACAAACAACAGTGCCAAACGTACGTTCGAGCTTATCCATTTAATCAAAAATTCATTGTTTAGTCGGTTCGGATAATATTCTAATAGACGACATCTATATGCCTCTCAGAAAAAGAAAAAAAGAGGCCAAGGTATTTTGTTGGTGCTGAAAATTAGAACTAAGAGTCAGTTCTTAATTGATAAACTATGCTGTCCTTAAAGTCCCCCGGCAATCCTGTCTTGTCTAAATGGACTAGCTTATTCGAGGTTGTAATGGAGGGGTCTCGTAATCTCGACTCTCCAAAGGAGAAGCGAAAACTTGATGTCAAATCGCATTCTCTTTCTCATATTAAATAAAATGCTATACTGGACATACAACATAGGAAGGGCAACACAATACACGTATTGACATTTAAGGCTAACGAGGAAGGTTAGGCTGATAGAGCTCTGCTAACTGGCTATTGTGCTCTTTCTTCGTTCCGTTATTTTTCTTTTCACTTAATTATCTTCAGTCACCGAGTAATAACTGCCATACTGGCAGCAATGACAACAGCAACCCACACAGCTGCATCCCAGCATGGACTGCTGAAGACTCCTTTGGACAATCTCCCAAGGATATTGGTTCTACTTTCTTCTCATCATCAGAAGATTTGCCTGACGATATAAATATTATTAAAGATTTGGGATAAGAATCCACAAAAAATGAACAACTACTGATTTTTGAGATCAAGGCATGTTTCGATGGATCTCGATCACTGATCAGTTCATTTACAAGTGAAACACTCTTATGATTTAAAGTTACAATAAATGATGCATGATGCATGAAACGATTGGCACTGATCGATGTTACATCTGATGATTACAATAGACCTTTTTAGATTGTATGTTTTTGTTTTCCCATTTAAAGCCACTTTATGGTACTTCAGAGAACTGTCTCTTTCAATTTCGTCCTATGTGCGTGCATCCACGTGCATATGTATGTACGGATTTGAAAGAACAGGCAAATTCCCGGGAGAACATCAACTGGTCTGAATTGATAAATCAAACCATAGAAGCTAAAAAATAGCCTGCGTGGCAGGAGCTTGGAGGCACTTGGCGCCTGCTACGCAGACTAAGCTAGAGAGGTATATTTGAATCTAACGTTATCCTGAATAAGCGCGAGATAACAAATATTGCACACATTCGGGAAAAACTTAAAATTGTCAATTTTGTTAAAAGTAAAATATGCAGCAAAACTGAAGAAAATAAGTAATGATAACGAACACGGTATTGATGATGAATATGATGATAATGATGATGATGATGATCATAGGAAAAGTAAAGTCGGGTTAAAACAAAAGAGCTGACTCAGATGATTAAGTTGCATGTTTAATGTTCGATTCTCCCTCCTAATATATGAGAAATTGATATCTGTTGCTTGGAAAGACGAAAGTGTCCGTTGTCCACATTAACGACTATAGGTATTAAAAGATTGAATTGAGAGAGAAAATGGCTTTCGCCGTGCAGGAACAAAGAAAACTGTCCGTAATTATGGTGAGTGTCGTACAGCGGGGTTAGAGTGACATAAAATTTATTCTCACTCAAAGGGCTTCACTACAATTACACTAAATCGCATTCAAGTTAAACGAAAAAGTAAAGGAAGGTCATTTCTTCATGTATACTTACCATTCCCGTCGACATCCTCGTAGTCATAACCGAACTCGAAAGACTTCTTGAACATTTGTTGATGAGTATACACAGGATAAAGTGGTACAATGACGTCATCTTTGTTGTGTCCGATGGGTGCATCGTAACTTGAAAGAACCGAAGCGTCCTTGTTGAACTTGCGAAGCCATTTCTCATAAATACGATCCACAAAGGAATGATGAAGAGGAAAGATAGGGTCGTTAGACGCTGAAGGTACATCCCCCATGACTCCACCCACGACTATGTGAACCTGGTTATGTAAGGTGTGGACATTTGGCAAACGATAACCGGTGTTTGTACTGACGTAGCCTTCCAGGATGTTTCTAAAATTGCAGCTTGACTCTTTGCCATAGGGTGGCAGGTCAAAAGTTTCAAACCGGAGTGCAAAATTGACTTCTTCTGTTGTCGGAAATGTCATTGTATATCCCTCATTTCTTACTTTGTCTTCCTTTTCCTTCTCAGTTCTCCGTTTTAAACCAGGTTCCTTGTTCGTTGGGTCACAAATCTTTGTCAGGGAATAGGTTTGTTCACTGGTGCAAATAACGTACCAGTTGTCAAAGTATTTGCCCTTCACAGTTCCATCAGCTTGGTTTGTTACACCAAGAAGCTCTTCAGAACAAATAGCGGGATCACATTGTGTTTTACTTCCGGTCCAGTCCCAATAAGGAACAGCAAAGTTTTCGTCGTTACCAATCTCCTGCAAGGTTCTCTCCCAAGCCAACATATACAGTCGATGCCAGGTGGGAAACCCCTGCCCATCATGCGCAAAGTCAATATCTTGCCAGGAGATGTTATGTGGTTTTATGGTGTCTCGTGCAGCATAGTAGTGCATCCACACGAACAAGTCATAGTTGCTGATGTTGTGAAAGAGTGCTGTTGGGTCGCGGTTGGCCATGACGGTTTTGTTGATCTCTTCGTACGGAGTTAAAGTCACCACATAATCGCTTATGTAGTACCTGGACATGTTGATGTACCTCATGTATTGATCCTTCTCCTGGGCTGACAACGTAAGGAAATTTTTGCGAGTCAGGGTTTTTTTCTGCGTACAGTCTTTGCCATAGTAGCCAAACTCGCACTTGCTACAGTCATATCCAGCAAAGTTTGAATTGCATTTGCATGTTTTGTGGTAAAGAGCATGAGGCCAGTCATGGCGATCGTCTTCTTTCTGGAAAGGTTGGTAATGACTGTACTTGAAGGTCCAATCACGAATGACCAATTCCTGGCATGTACCTCTGTTTCCATCATTACCGCATGGCGCACTAAAGCCCTTTGGGATTGGACAACATTTCTTTTTTTTCAGACTCGTCAGGGATGTACAAACTCTAGGGAACTGGCCTTCAGCACAATGAAAGGTGAAGACAAAAAAGACAAGACATATGATGATACGGCAGCTCATCTTACTCTCGTTTTCCTGAATGAAGAAAAATAATTGTTCATTAACGATGCTCAAGCAGACTCGTACCCAGTCGCTAATTATGTGTTGTTGGGGTGAGAGAAGATTGGGGGTTAGGCTGAGGCGCGCGGGCTTTCATGGGAAGGTACGAAGGGAAAATAGAGGATGGAAGAGAATACTGAATCGAAATTTTTCAGACACAAATAGCTCATCGTCCTTAACATTTTAAAGTATAAATATTGCGTCGGTAAGTCACGTGAAATACCACGTGATAATTTTTCTGAAAGTGTTAAATAATTGACAAATAGGCAAATTAATTTACTGTGGGGTTGGGAGAGAAAATAAGTAATAACATTAAAGCCTCACGTTTGGAATAACTGCCCATTGCACTTCAATAAAAAGTTATAAGGGCAAACATCACTTTAAATGGCCAACTTTAGTCTTAAATTATCCAAATGTAGAAAAACAAATCATATTTATCCTCCTTCAGGAACGCCAATTCATTCATTCAAGCAAAGTAAATTCGCCACCAGTTCCCCAATTTTCTCTGACATCGTGCTATGTCACCTGATCATAATTATAAGGCACAAGAAGGTATTTATATCTGGGGGAACTTTCGTCTCCTTCTAGGAATCATAGCCAGGATATTGCCAATTACTTTTTTTCGAACATAAGTTCTATAGTCTTTTTAGCTATAATACACTCTTTTTCAACGCTCAGTATAGTGATTTATTTCCTCCAAATAATATTGTACAGAATCAGGATAAAACCAAGGTGTCATATTTTACGTTAACATCAGTGCATTCGGATTCGCGATCGTTTTTTGTCGGTACAATGACGAAAATACGAGGATATATTTAGATAAGATGACAAACCACCTTTGTTGGCGTGTCGGAACGAAAAAAATGTCGGCTGGCTCCTGATTCTCAGAAACTCACCTTCCGGTTTAAAAGAAGCTTACAACAGAAGTGAAACAAATTCTGGGAATCATTTATTATTATATTCGTATACCTTCTGCGTGTTGCTGTTTTTTAAACTGGCTTCTTTAGGAATTTGAACAACCACTAATTTTCAGAAACAAGTCCAAATCGAAACACTTGGGACCATTTACACATGATAAGCACGGTTTCAGACGGCTACGCTGTCAGAAGTTGTTTTCTTATTACATTGGGTTGGAGTGACGTGAGGTACAGTACAAGAACACACTACAAGTACAAGTACACGCTGCAGTAACATGCTTAAGATCGTTTAGTTGGTTCTGTCAGTAAAACATCTTTACAATTTTCAGCACCCCTCGTTTTTGTCGACATATGCGCTCTCCACATCATGCTAAACCAAGTGACATTCATTAAAAAAAAAAAACCCAAGTTAAAATGTACCGGTTTTGTCTCTTTACAATTACAAGTCCCTTAATTAACTGCAGTCTCGCAGTGGTTAGTCACTGAGGAGTACCAGTAGCTTTTTATCCTCACCGTGATATTTCCACCCTAAACGAAAAACTTCAAACTTAATTCACTGTGGTATGTACGACCACACAATTCTTAGAAGGGGGTAAAGTTCGGCATTGTCTTCGGAATTTCCTTAATAAAAAGGCTACGCGTATTTTGCACAGGCAAGAAATAGGTTAGACTGTTTCAAAACAACTTCTAGTTTGCAAAGATCAATGTTTTGCTTTTAACTTTGTTCAGAAATTGTACACGACAATTTTTTTCTGTCTTGATGAAAAACTGCCAATGAGAAACTGAAAGCAACCACGTTCGGCAAAAACACTTCCGCTCTTACCGACTAGCAATATGCCCGCCGAGTCTTGCCAAAACACAACGAACAACGACCATCAAAAGAACGAATAGATCGAACCTTAGAAAAATAAGACTCGAAGGGAAAGCACTGTCAATGCACTTACAAAACTTGGTACGTATTTACATTCATAACCGTCATAATCGTTCTTGCCGAGAATTGCTTTCTGTCTATGCAGATTATTGTCTTACAAACATTTGCACCAAGTCAGGCTATACATGATTCTTGTCATTGAAGTATAACCGGTATCGGATTTGCCAAAAAAAAATCCTAACGCGTAAAGCTCTTTTTCCGTGATTTCCCATACTCTTGAAGGGCTTGAAGGGAAGCATTTCACCTTCATGATTCCAAGAGCCAAAAACATGCAACATACTTCTTTTTAAATAAAACTTGATCACATTCGTTAAATATAAAACAACACGGCATTCTTTTGAACAAACAATATAAAAATTTACCTTTGTCTCTAAATACTGCAATGTGGTTGGGTTGAAGCTTCTATGCTCCTCGATCTAGGTCCACCTCAAACTGAATGCACTGATTTAACTCTAAGCGTTGAACTATAAGAGAGTCAGCTTACTCACATCCTTCAAATTCCAAGAAATGCATGGCGACTGACAAGGCGTGATCATGTACTTAGCAGCTGTGCGGTGCTGTATACCATATCATTGTTCCAGGAGTCAGAATTATCACCCGTATCACATTTTCTCTAAGGGTAACACCCATTACAGTCAAGGCAGGTTAAGCGTACGAGTTAAGATTCTATTAATGAATTGATAATTTGAAAAATGAATACGTTAGTCGTTCCCGTAACTGGTGTCAAATTCAATTCGGCATTCTGCCCCGGGCATTCTGCATGCGTAATAAACAGTGAATATATTACGAAAACTTCTCTTCTCTGTATTTTGACAGATTGAAAATCTTTGAGTGGACGCAATTTCTTAGAATACATTTACATCAAATTAGGGCGTCAATATAACCAGGAACACCGAACACTCTGGAGGCCCGGAACATGAAAAAAAAAATTCACGAAAAAAAATAAAATAAAAATAATAATAAAATAACTTAAAAACGAAAAGAAAGAAAGAAAGAAAGAAAGAAGGAGAGAGAGAAAGAAAGATAGGTAAAGGTAAAGGTAAGATAAAACAAACGAACAAAAACGGACGGATCCTTTCCTTTCTATTCACCTTTGACACGGACACAACAAACGGATACTGTAATATTCAGTGAATTTAGCTACAAAAACTAACAAGTCGTGTATAAGCAAACCTCCAGTAACGTTTCAGCGAGTCAGTCACAGGGGATGCCCAACTCACTATGACAGCGGCGATCGCCATCCTCAACCAAGGATCGACTTAATAAAACTTTTACAAGTGTAATGTACAAGTGTAGCTATTGTTTTCAGAGTCTAAAACAACGGCTACACTTGTAAAAGCTTTTATTATTAAATAAAACGCAGGCGGAAAAAAAGAGCGGCCTGCAAACTTGAATTTCAGCCATCTTGAGCCCCGATTCAGGAAGCAAAGCACTATATAATGTTGGCTTGACATGAACTGCGTACCGACATTTCAGACCATCGGCTTGAACCCCCTTTCGCGTTGCCTCGCGACCCTTTTTTTTTTAATTTAGTGCAAGCCTTCACTTTGGCCCGATTCAGACGCCGAATTTTTCATGAGCCAAACCTAATTCGAATTAAGGTCGACTCAAATTATTTAGACGGGCTGAATTGATTCAGACGCCGATCTTAACTCCAGCTGAACTATAATCGAAAGGCGAAAAATGCTTTTTTCGATCAAGCGCCTTACAAAATACGTTATAATCATGAATTTATGCATTAGGTCATTAGGTTCGGTACATGAAAAGGTTGGCGTCTGAATAAAAGCCGTTCCAAAGTCGCTCTAAAGGCGAAATTCTCGAAACACGCGTTCCTAATTGATTCAGAAGCCGAACTTTTCATAAACTTACATCTGTAATTCAGTGTATTAGGTTCGGCTCATGAAAAATTCGGCTTCTGCACCGGGCCTTACTGATTTGCATGGACCCTCACTCGCTCAACAAATTGTGATTGTGGAGGAATAGTAAGAAATGATATTTTTCCGGATACCCTTCCATACAAATACCCTTACTTTTCTCCTTTTGTGAGTAAACTTGTTATTGTTGTTGTGTTACAGACGTACGTCTAAACTTCTTCACCGGAAGTCTGCTAGGTGTATGACCCCGTCGCTGTAATCCAATTCGATTATAATTTCTGTCATAAATATTTATTGCTCATTTAAACAACGCGTTTGGCTAGTTCCAGTCTTTTGTGGGAAACCTGGTGTAAAGTATCCATTCCGGTCACGACAGCTTAAAATCTCTAGGATATTGGCCCAAATTATTATTAAACATCGCATCTAGCTGCATAAATTAAAGTTTTTCCAGCTAACAGTTAATTTTACTTTATAGGATAAAAAGATATATATATATATATATATATATATATATATATATATATATATATATATATATATTAATAATCACAGGAGTTCAGGCTTCAGGAGTAATCATTGATCGTTTATTGCGACAGTGCTGTTTCGTATGGTCCGAAATTGTAGGACCACACTCATCAGGCAACTTCAACGATTGACCGTTAAAATTAAAAGCTGGCAGTAAATATAGGGATGCGTTAAGAGATAGTATCTAGGTAACAGATGGATTGTGCCTTAGTTACGTTACTCTAGAGTTCTGAAGTACATATCTGTTTCTGTGGGGGCATGAACTCGCTAGTTCGTTTCGCCTGTTTAGGCTACAAAGCTGTTTTTTACAAATGATGATAAACTTTTCATAAAGACAAAGATTACATTTTTTGCTAATGTTGCTATAGGCTTTACATTTCTTTAAAACTTTCCATTTTATCTGGAAAGGTTTGTTAGAGTCTTGTAAAGTCCAAATATATTTTGATAGTTCCGTTTCATTTCTTCTGTTCGAGCGTCGAAAGGAGGACTGATGGTTTCTGTAACGTTCCTTAAAGTTTGTTGCCAGTCCGACGTAAGTTTCAGTTGTCGTCGCTGTAGTTACAGTGGCTTGGTAGATTACATTCAGATTGTCCACTCGAAGGAAAATGCCTCCAATCAAATGTAATCTACCAAGCCACTGTAACTACAGCGACGACAACTGAAACTTACGTCGGACTGGCCACAAACTTTAAGGAACGTTACAGAAACCATCAG